AGTAAAAATAGCAACAGCAGTCCAAAGGAAAAAAGTTAAGCACAGGGCAGGAGAGATCTCTCCAAACCCTGGCTGGGGCTAAACATGCTGCTTCATTCCTGTACTGGCTGCCACTGTGCCTCAGTGTAGATACACAGACATTTCTGTATGTTTTGTGTACATACCAGGTGTTTTGTTTTGCAAAACACTTAGGAGAAAGGTGAAATATAAATGCAAGGTGTCTGCAGATAACTGGGCCAGAGATGGAAGGAAAACAAGAGCTGTGTATTAATATACAGGAGTTATTTGAGCAATTGAGGCTGTGAGCATATTGTAGGCAAACTTTGTGGCTGTGACACTTGATTACTAAGAAAACAGAGTGACTTCAGTGCTGGCCTAATATTGCTGTGGATTTAGGTAATAAAATAAATGCAACGGTGCTCCCAGGTTCACACGTTTCAACTGCTCCTCTCATCTGAGCAGGGCAGGACATTCACACTCTGAGCTTCCTCCCCTGTTTATGGCATCAAAGAGAGTTAATCTCCAGCTCTTGGCAGGCATACGGCCTGATTAAAAACATACAACATCCACACAAAGTGTTCTCGTGACTCGGGAGCTCAAAACAGTACTTGAAGTACTTCACAACTCCCCTTTGAAAAAAGCAGGAACAAACTAGGCAGAAAGTTCCCCTGAAGATATAAAATCCCAGAGGGAAGGGAAAAGCAGCAAAGCAGTGCCAAGCAGGGTTACTGAAATCGTAAACAGCTCCAAACATATTGTCTGGGAGAAAGCAAAACTGGAACCAAACATCTAGCAGGGGAGTGCTCTGGGTCCTCCTGAGCACGCTGGGGTGTTTACATTAATTGACAAAAAGCATTAAAAGCAGCAACACTCACTGGCTTCAGAAAGCAACTGGGGGGTTTTCAGGAGTTGCTTTTATTCTGACCAACTGCTGGAGTTCGGGAAGTTTGTTTCAACCCTGAAGATCTGGATATTTAATGATCACAAGTGAAGTTAGTTCACCTCAGTGGGAGCCCAGAGCCAACACGACTGCCCTACATCTGGCTCTGTTTGGAGTCGTGCTCTTCTCGGATGAGCATTTGCATTTTTATTGTACAGTTTTTAGCTCTTGCTCATCCTGCACCAACACAGGACCTGTCTGACCACGAGCAAAACAAAGAGCAGGCCATGCCAGAAATACCAGAAAGGTATTTATATACTGCAGGACATGATGAAATGCCAGAAGTTCTCCCAGGAACTGCTCTTTTCAGCAGGAAAACCACCCCAGGATGCTTTAGGTCTTTAAGCAGAGGCATTACGTGCATCATCAGGAGAGCACTGTCCCTGGGGTGGCATCACTCACTAGACTACAATAATTACTAACTTGAGAAGGGCAGGAAATAAATGCCACACATATTTGAGGAGGCAGCTGTGGATGGGACAAGGGAGCAACAATTTGGCAAGAGAAGAGCGACCACATCAAGTGAAGGCTTCTGCCAGAGACCCTCAAAGGCAAAGAGGCCCAGCACTCATTTTAGGTTTAAGAATCAAGCTGTGACCAGGGAATTGGTTTAACAGACATGGCCAGAGACCAAATGGATCCTTCCTCGTCCACCTTGGTCCTCACATTTGGCAACAGCTGCTCTTTTTCCTGGCCCCAAAGCACATTTTGCTGATGTATCTCCTCCCTGTACTGCTGGAATTCTAGAATGCCAGGTTGGAAGGGACTTCAAGGATCATCTGGTCCAACCTCTAGGTACTACTCTAGTTGATAGGAGGTGGCTCAGCACCCTGTCCAGCTGAGACTTCAAACTGTCCCATGTGGGGGAATCCATCACTTCCCTTGGGAGGCTGTTCCAATGCTGGACTGTCCTCATGGGGAAACATTTCCCTCTTGTGTCCAATTGGAATCTCCCCAGGAGCAACTTGTGCCCATCACCCCTTGTCTTTTCCACATGACTCCTTGTCAATAGGGAGTCTCCATCTTCTTGGCAGCCACCCTTTAAGTACTGGAACATGGTGATAAGGTACCCCTAAGCCTTCACCCTAAGGTCCCCACCTTTCCAGATGACAACTCCAAAACCCTCTTCTACAAGCCTTTACTACTCAGGTTTTGTCAGTCACACTTCAGAAGAGAACACCAAGTTTTTGTGTACCTTGTACTCAGAGCCATGCTGGGATAAAAGCAATTGGAACAGATTAGAAAGCAACTATTAGCAGTCATTTTTCAGAAGCAGCTTTCTAGGATGCGTGGACACGCTTCAAGCCATCATGTTATTTGCTCCAAAAAGCCCATGTCTTGTTCAGGGCTGCATTAAGACTTTTTAAGTTGGAAAGAAAATTTTAGCCTACAGTACTAGAGGAACAAGGAAAGCTGCAAGGACAGCACTTTTGCTTTCAGCTTCAGCATAAAAGTGTAATTTATTAAAGGAAGAGAAACTGCTGGATTCTATACTTGATACAAGGCAGTAACTTCCACAGATGATTTGAACTCTGCATGTCATCACTGCAATGGGAGCTACATGGTGCTGAGAACTGAAAGGCTGCAAACAAGCTACATGCATGCTCAAGGTGACCCTTCTGTCCATTTATGGGCTCCAACATCTCTGAAATCCTTCACTTCCACCTCTTTACAGATCAAAAAGTGCCACTGCAAATTTCTTCCCTATTTATTCCTGCCTCTGTGTTACCCAGAGCTCCAGCTGGCTGGAGCTGGCTGGGTTAGCACATCTGTGCTCACTGGAACAGGCAGAACTGGGAGAGAACAGGATCTAGTGAATGCTTCTGGTTCAGCTGGGATGAAGGATTGCTCTGGAGCCATGGGGAACACCCAAACCACTGCTAACAGGCACCACACACCGAGTTTGCCTCTGAGAACAGAGCTCAGACTGGCCCAGAGGAAGGGACCGAGACGTCTCAGCCCTGGCTGTCCTGATAAGCTGGGCTGGGGCAGCAGAAATGGGAACCAGACAAAGAAAAACAAACCTCTTCCTGCAGCTGGTTGGGAGCTTCTCTGGGTCCAAGCACTCCCCAGCTCTAACCTCCCAGCAGCCGAGCTGAGCCCTGCTTTGCTAAGCCAGCTCTTGTCTAACATGGATTGTTTATTCAACCTGAAACCTCAGCTGCTCACGGCTTCTCCCAGGAGATCACCTACACTTCCAACAGCCCTCGCCCAACAGGCAGCCAGCAAGGCAGGCCCTAGAGCAGGAGCCAGCCTTTTGAGGAGCTGAGCCAGGGAAGAAGTGGGTTTCAGCCACTCAAGAGACTCACAGGGCAAGGGAAGCAGGATGGAAGGTGTGAGTCCAGAATAAGGCAGTCGCCACACAGCGGATATAAGCAAGTTGACAGCAGAGCTGCTGTACTGGAAGGAGACAGCAAATGCAACAGGAGAAGGGACAAAGCAATTTGAGCAGAAAATAACCCCCTCTCCACACCCACCCTCCCCAAGGTCACAAGGAGAAGGGCCATCCTTGGGGTGTCAGCTCTGGAAATGCAGCTGGGCCAACTCTCCTCCCAGACTGCCTTTTATCCCTGCCTATCCCAACCAGCACTGAGCAGCCTCCAAGCCAAACCACCAAAAGGTCCAACCTGCCACTCTCCAGACAACAAACCTGAGCCTAAATCAACACCACTAGGAACATACAAGAACATACTGTAGTGGCTTCCCAGGCTACTATAAAGTTTGGTTTTGATTTAAGGCAGCAACCTTGATTTCTGATACACACTGGAAGAACCTCGGGAGGGGAAAACAACAGGCACCAAGTAACACAGAGTTCATCTCGTAAACAAGTCTCCAACCTAAAGAGCTTTATAAAGCAAGTTTCAGAGCTGACTCAAGAGGAAGGAGCAAAGGGTTTGCATAGCTGCAGCACTACTGCACTGTTACTCAGCTCCCTGCACATTTCTGTGGTTCAGTTAAGGTTTCAACAGGCAAAAAAGGAAGGTACAAGACAGCGTAGGAACAGAATCGCTCTTTCCCAAAAGGCACAGTTCACTTTTGGAACTAGGCAGATTATTTCTCAAACCAGAGAGACAGAGAGACTTGAAATAGATGGCACTCTTAGCCTAAGAGTCTATTTTTAGAAAGCAGCCAAAACTTAGCAACTCCAAATCAGGATGTTGATATTGGAAGGGACATGTCTCATCCAACCCATCCAGTCAGATTTCCACCTCGCTGCTCCTCAGGCTGTTTTCTCCGTTCTTCAGAGTCCTCCAAGTGGCTTGAACCACAAGCACACCCTTCTGACAAACTGCCATGTCAGAGTTACCAGCACTTACTTCATAAGCCAGAATAGAGATGTGGGAACTTTGTGCATCTGCTCTAGTTTTTTCAAGCAGGATTGGCTATTTTATTGATAACTTCAGTGACTGGAATGAAGTTGGGTACCAGAAGCCATCGGTTAGATCACTGTTACCCAAGGGCAAAGACAGGATGGATACAGCTCTAAAGAACATGTCCTTAGATTGAAGGTTAAACAAGCCAAACCAGTCTGGCTAGCTCCATTTTTTTCTAGTGACAGGTCCCAGTTTTTATGTTTTTCCACATACGTATTATCTAGTCCAAGAGATTTCAGCTCCTGCCTCCACTTCCATCCACTCCTGGACAAGAGGTCCCAATATGGCTTGGTTCACCCCAAGACCATGAGCACGCACTGTGGTCTTTGATCTCCATGCTACATGAGTCACTTTACATAAACAGGCTCCAGCACCCACTGTGGGATCCTGCACCCTCCCCACGAGTGGACATATTATTTAAAAAAAGCACACAGCAGAGGGACTGAGCTCATCAAACACAAAAACATGTGACCCAACCACATTTCCAACTCCTAGCCCTTCAGCCAAAAGGCCAAGCTTCCTCTTTGCTTGGATATCTGGAAGTCTACAATAAAAGCATTCTGCAGATTTGAGGTAAAGATCTTCCTACAGCACTGAGCAACCTCACCTGAAACAAATGCATGAGCAGCAACATCTCATCTGCACAAATAGTAAAACCATTTTGACTGAAAGTGATTATTGGTTACCTATAGATGGGGATTTGAAAGGGTATTTATCAGGAAGGTCGACTCTAACTTTCCAAACTCCACCTTCATATGGTGCTGCAATGAAAGAAATGCAGGTGTTAGACACTTCATAACTCAGGAGAGAATAAATAGAACTACAGCATTAAGCAAAACACATCTCTGGAATAATTCTTAGATCCATCAGGGGGTAAGATTTCCTAACAAACCTCCTACAGTAAAAGCCTTTTTCCTGTGCTGCCTGGCAAGAAATACCTGTTTTTAACTGATACTGCAGAAGATCTTGGCACAAAGACACAGGAGCCTTATTAAAAGCAGAGACTTTAGAACAATCTACTTACCTTGAAAGATGTTACTAAATTAGGGCACACAGGAGACCTGACTTGGGCTCTAGTCTCCAGGAAAGTCATCTTAATTACAAACCTTGCAAAAATTCAGAGGGCTGATGCAAAACTAATGAGGCAGGTCTAGAGCAGCTGAGGACCAAAAAGAGCAGTTCTGGAGGCCACAGCAGAGGGCTTAGTTGTCTGAGGGTGGTATCCAGCTCTGCTCAGCTCCAAGGGAAGTGGGGTTCATCTGTGTTCATGCTCACAATTGTACTTCTCCCCACCCTTGAGAGAGCAGCCTTCAAACACTGCTACCCTTTGATTTCTCACCCTCATTTAGATTTGCTCATCTCCTTTTTTCTGCTCCAGAAAAATGTGTCAATTCCCTGGTCCCCACCATGAGCCACTCATTTGTTTTTACAAAGGGCTGGGTCATATACTTACTTCCTTGTGGTCCATAAAACTTCACAACAAATTCATTGAGTCCTCCTAAGATTGTGACTTCGTGTTTGCTCTCAATACTGATACATCAAGTAAAGGAAAAACATTCAGTTGGGGAAACAAAAGTAATTTACTCAGATACTTGCTAAAAGCCTGTAAAACTAAATAGTTGAAAACCAAATATTCAAAATATGCAATGATTCAATAGATGCAAATATTCAACATGCAATTTGAGAGTCTTGACACATTGAAGTGGCCACATCACCACAATTACATTAGCAAAAGCCAATTCTACACACTCGAGAATCCCTCCCCCTGCACTGAGCAACCTTGAGATTATGCTTCCCTTCCTCCCAGGAGCTGCTCAGTGTTTTCCATCTACTCCTGCAGAGCAGGAACTCCCACTCAAGAAAATATTGTGTCCCTATCAGCAATTTATTTGGAACCTGGACATCAGAATGAAATTCTTTTCTGTGGGGGTGGGGAGACCCTGGCCCAGGTTGCCCAGAGAAGCTGTGGCTGCCCCATCCCTGGCAGTGTTGAAGGGCAGGTTGGATGGGACTTGGAGCAGCCTGGAATGGTGGGAGGTGTCCCTGCCCATGCAGGGGGGTTGGAACCAGATGATCTTTGAGGTCCCTTCCAACCCAAACCATCATGTGATTCAATGAAACATATCTGTGCTTTGGAAGGGACCTAAAATCCAGAAGCAGCAACAGCTTCAAATCCTCATGGCCCCCCCAGACAGAAACCCCAGGACAAGACTCAGAGGTGAGCCCAGGACTGTGAGAGAACCTCTCTCCTCTCCAGCACTCAGAAAATGAGCCAGAAAGCAAAAAGTCAACCTTGCCAATCACTCACATGAAATGTTTACTCTCTTACCCAGATGAGAGGAGCAGAACCCTCCCCAGCCTCTGCTCTGACAAATCCAAGAGCTGATGAATCCAATTCTCCTTGGCTGCCTTTGGCACTGTCAGATGGCCTCCCACAGCTACCATGCAAACAACAACAGTCTCATCTTAATTTGACTTGCAAGACCAAAAAACTCCACTTCTTCAGAGAGGTGGCAGAAGGGCAAGATGATGAGGCAATGTCAAGAGCGAGAAAAGAACAACTGTGTTTCTCAACAGTTAAAAGGAAAGAATCAAAGCACTTTGGGAAGAAGGGTATATAAATGGAAAGGCAGGAAACCATTATTCCAAGTCAGGCTCAGTTAAGATAATTAAGGGTGATGTTCCAGCACCCAAGCTGGCTGAAGAGTTCTGCTATAAATCAGGATTAATGGATTGTGAATCATATCACAGAATCACAGAATCTTAGGGGTTGGAAGGAACTTCAAAAGATCATCCAGTTCAACGCCCTGACAGAGCAGGATCACCCAGAGCACATCACACAGGAAATATTCTACATCGATTACTTCCAATCAATAATCTCAATAGGAATTATGAGAGAAGTATTGGAAAAAAGAGCAGGAGAAAACCAAAGGTTTGTTCCCACCTGAACTTCAGCCTGTTTCAGCTCTGCACCACAAAGGCTGCACCTATTTGAGGGACAGGGGCAACAGCACAGGATGTCTGAATAAGTATCATGGAGAAGAGAAGGCTCCAGGGAGACCTTAGAGCACCTTCCAGTGCCTGAAGGGGCTCCAGGAAAGCTGGGGAGGGGCTTTTCATCAGAGAAGACAGAGATAGGACAAGGGGTGATGGTTTTGAACTAGGAGAGGGGAGATTCAGGTTAGATATGAGGAATAAATTCTTCACTCTAAGGTTGGTGAGGAACTGGGATGAGTTGCTCAGGGAGGTTGTTGATGCCCCATCCCTGGAGGTTTTTAAGGCCAGGTTGGATGAGGTTTTGTGCAACCTGGTCTAGTGGTTCCCCTGCTCATGGCAGGGGGTTGGAACTTGTTGATCTTTCAGGTCCCTTCCAACCTTCACCATTCTATGTTTCTACACCCTGAACACCACAGCAGCAAGCTTGGCAGAAACATTGAAGAACTGAAGCCAGGTGCCCTTTTACAACCAAGATTCATTACTCCAATACCAAAGATTTTCTGCTTTAAAGGCACAATGTTTCCCCAGGTGCTCTCTGCTCTGCACCAGTTACACTGACCCCCTTCCACCTTCATAGCACTGAGCAAACCTGCATCTAAGTGCCTTGACACACACACAGACGTTTCCTTAAATATTCCTGACCCACCAGGAATGTAACTGCCTGGAATCTACCACCAGGAACAAATAATTCTGAGTTCAGGTGGAACCCCCAGTCACACATTATGATCCGTGGAGGCTGCTTAAGGTGCATCACACAAACTACTTTAAGAGCAGAGGCTCCTGTATCCAGAAGTGCTGATTCAATCCCAGCAACCCATGTGCATATAGGCAGGATCCAAGTCCCATCTGCAGGGTCCACAAGGATTTATTACAGTTCCTCAAGTACAATGACTCCCAGATTGAGTTTTCCCACAGTGCCAGCTCCAAAAGGGTTTGGACACAATAACCTTCTTCCCCTCACTCTCATGGGGAGGGAGA